GTGAGTGAGTGAGTGAGTGAGTGAGTGAGTGAGTGAGTGAGTGAGTGAGTGAGTGAGTGAGTGAGTGAGTGAGTGAGTGAGTGAGTGAGTGAGTAAACATATGTTTGATTTAAAATTGTGCAAAAATCTCAGTTTCCAACAGCCTTTCTTCTGGTTATCAACGAGTAAAGCAGCCAAGTCTTACCGCCACATTCAATGTAGAGCTTGTTGTTCAGCTCTGAAGGTGCAGCGTCCCGTTCACAGTCCCAAATACTGTTAGCATCAGAAGGACACCTGAAGGTTTTCTTCCAGATGTTGTCAGATGCATCCAAAGGAATGGTTTTTAGTGATTTGAAGTTTCCACAGTTCAGATCCTTACAGAGCCTCTGCCCCTCAGCTTTTGTCCAGCTTTGGCTGGAAACAACACTTCTCATGCCTTTAGAATAAATGCTTACTTCACCCTTGCAGGCGTAATCCACCTCTAATGCCATCTTCCTGAACTCTGCAATAAGCAGAGTAAACAAATAAATATGGMAAAAGCATCATCCCAACCAGGGAAAATAATTTAAATACAGTATTAAACAAAAATAAACCAAGTGTTTTTTCTTGCCAAGGATCAAAATGTTATCATTGGACATTTAATCAAAATTACAAATAATTGTTATATGAGAAGTTTCTATGTGGGCATAAAATAAGAAAAAAATACCCCAAATGATCACATTTCATTGAAGAATAGTTAAAAACAGAAATCATCCCACTAACCAGAACACTGGAGCGCTTGCAGTGCAAAGCTGTCTGTCGGTGGTTTATCAGTAGTTATATCACAGGATGAAAAAACTTTATCAGTACACCTTATTTGGACGACACTCTCCACATCTGGTTTTGGTCCAAAGTAGGTGTCAACACTGAGAGCGTCTCCACACTTCAGCTTATTACAGATGGTGTTCTGAGTCTGAGTTTGAGTTGAAGTATCATAAAAATTCTTCAAAACTGGAAGCCACCTGCCCTCATAATGCATTTCAATATTACCAGAACATTTGTCCCGGGTCGTACTGAACCTCGGCGTGACGCTGTCTGCAACAAACAAAGAAACAAACAAATCAATAAATAAAAGAAGTGTCATTTGTTGTTTTGATAAAAAACACATACATGAAGAGTCTGGATCAGCTTGGTGCAAATGTAAAAATAACCGCAGAAAAACAAAGTCATGGTTGAATAATTAAGACTTTTAAAGGTATGAATAAATAATCTGA